TCTTCCCCAGATCCTTATGAATCAGCCTGCTCCCCCTCCTGTGAACCCACATCCCCAACCAAGAACTCCCCATTCCTAAGTGTCAAATCCTAATACCTAGAAACACATTTTGTCCAGATTTCCAGGGACAACACGTATCAGGATCCCAGAAAAATATCCTACCAGGAGACACACTACTTCCACATCTTCCTAAGAAACAGAGACAGCAAAAAAGCCAAGGAACAAACCACCTACTCAACAAACATGACCAGATATCAGACTTAGAATTAACTCCTCTACAACTTAGATGCTTACACATTAGTGCAAAAATACAATAAGATCCAGGACAATTAATCTCTTCAAGAGGTCAGCAACACTACCACAGTAAGCCCTGAGTATTACAACATAGCTGAAGCAGTAGACAAAGAACTTAAAACAGCTTATGTGAAGATAATAGAGAGCCTTATAAAGGAGGTGAATAAACCACTTAAAGAAATCTATGAAAACACTAGCAATAGAAGAAAGTAAATAAAACTGTTCAAGGCCCCAATATGGAAATAAAACTAACAAAGAAAACCCTAACTGAATAAAATCTGGAAAGGAGAAATTTAGGAACTCAAATTGGAAGCCTCACCAACAGAATGTAAGAAGTAGAAGAAAGAATATTGGGTACTGAACACATGGTAAATGGATACTCCCATCAAAGAAAATTTTACTGAGTAAGAGCTATAACTCTTGTGCATTTGATTTTCATGTAAGGTACTGAACATTCTTTGTCTATGTAATCTAATATACATATAAATTTATATAATAGATGACATGATTTTTCCTTACAAACAATAATATTTTTCTGAAGCTTTCATTCTGATGACAAACTATAAGGCAATAATCCCATGGATCATGAGTTTCTATACACGTAAGGTTTTACTCCTGCTGTACATGAATGACTGACTTGCCAGATCAGTTGTCCAGAGACCAGTCATTAATTTTCAGGAATGTGTCTACAACTAAATGATAGATACTTTCAGATACATACATATAATGCTTTATGAATTTACAGGGTATATAACTTAATTAGTAAAAATATATTTAAAGACATAATCCATTTGGGAAACATGAAGCAGTGGGTAAAGAAAATCAACACATTTATTTCTGCATGAAGCCATTTGCCCTCATACTCACTCCATCTTTTGTCTCTGGTGACATCTTGCTATCCCTCTTAATATAAAACTTATATGAGAAGTCAAAATTGTGTGATACACCTATTCTTTCTACTGAACCTTAATACAATGGATGGTAGAGAATCAAGAGTGGCTTTTACTCCCTGTTGAGGTGAATGAATACTTTCTCTACCCTGAGTCACTTTCCTTTTATTGAAGACTTAAAGGGATAGTACATCCCAGCCACTGTTTCCCTACATCAGAAGAAAATTCTCACTCACTTGCCACTGGTCTTCCCGGCAGTCAGGAAATAGTATCCTTTCTTCACTATGAATGTGTCAACATGAAAAATGCAGATTTTACTTCAAAAGAAATTAGAGAGTTTATTCTGGAGACAAATATGAATGCTTGTGGTCTAGGAACATAGACTTAGGTATTCCCAAATACTATGCTCCACAGTCAGTGTTTTGATTTTGCAAAACAAAACAAACTGTTGACCAAATAGAGTGGTGAGGATACAGATAGCTAGGTTAGAGTAAAGTTCAGCCACTGCTAACAGGTTTTAGATGTAATCTGATGGAAATTTAGCTTTTGCAGTGGTTAAACACTACTGGACTCTTAAAAATATGTTTTAAGGTAGTGATAGTTTCTGAAGGTCAGGTTTTTTTTTAAACAGACTAATGAGAAGTAGTCAAACGAAATCTTTCAAGAAAATGAACAAGATGTTAATGTTTCTGAATGATCAAGAGACAATAGAGGAAAAAATAATCAGTAAAGTAAACTACCTGGAGACAACCCCAGGACCAGCAAAAGCAGGTAATTTGTATATTAGTGAACAGAGAAACATGAAGATAACTGAAAAACAAAATAACCTGTGTGTGTGCTTGATGCCAGAGGAAGTAAGAAGCAGGAGTCACATTTCGTAGAAACAGATGGTTCTTAGATACCATGTGGGTGCTGGGAACTGAACTTGGGTCCTTTGTAAGGGTAACAAGTGTCCTTATTTCCTGAGTCTTTTGTTCAGCACCACCATGTGAAAATATGCTTATATACACAGGCTTTTCCTTTCCATTCTTTCCTTAACTTTAATCTTTTAAATTTGGATTTAATCTAGTAAAAAGAAGCATATAGCTTATTGTTTAAATGCATGATAGAAGTTGTCTCTCTTGTAAAATTGAAAATAATTTTAACTTTTCTTTAACACACACACATACACTCACAGACACACACACAAACTTGATGATTCCGTTTTGTCTTTTTATAGTTTAAGTAAAATTTAGAAGACATTTTTAAATAAAGCAATTATATTTCTAATGAAAATCAGAAAGCTTGCCTATAATATCTTAATACCTAACATCTACCAATATATGTAATATTTGTTAACAATGTTGTTGTTTTTAAAAGAAATTTAAGTTGTCACTGCCTGATACAGAACTTTCTTATTTTAAATATTTTTCTTTACTGGACACAGTGAAGGTATGGCACATAATGCTTTGATGTATGCACACAATAGTCTCTTAGCACCCAGAGGAGACTGACTATTCTGTTTTATAATGTGCAAGTATACTAAAGTGTGATGGCAATTACTGTATGAGCAGAACATGTCACAAGTAACTCTTTGAAAAGATTTATACATGGAAAATTAAAATAGGATAGAATCATATTTATAGAAACCTATAAGAATAAATAAGTACAAAACACAATGTAACAGGCATATTTGTTAATCCATACTTTCCTATGTTTCTAGGATAAATAAGGACACATGTTGTATTTAATATGTAAGTAAATTTTCAGGCTTTTTTTATTAATCAATAAATAATGTAGATATACAAGCTGTAGCATTCACAGAAACCCTATGCCTATTTTTTGGCTGTTGAAAATAATTATTAGCCTTGATGTGTGTACTCCATGAAATGCAGATAATTATTTTAATACTGTTTATACATTTATTATTTTTTTTTTTTTTGGTGTTTCGAGACAGGGTTTCGCTGTGTAGCCCTCGCTGTCCTGGAACTCACTCTGTAGACCAGGCTGGCCATGAACTCAGAAATCCGCCTGCCTCTGCCTCCCAAGTGCTGGGATTAAAGGCGTGTGCCACCACTTCCCGGCATGTTCATACCTTTTTATAGAAATAATTATAACCCCCAATTAGTATTTTATACATGGTTTATGCTATTTAGTAAGACTTGCAAAAAAAATACTGTTACAGTTAAATGAAGAGTGATAGAAAAAATTATCCTCTAAAGTAAACAGGTGAAAAGTTCTGAAACTCCTTTTTTTAATGTTTTATATTTTTGAAACTGAAAGTAGTAATTTGTGAGCACGCTATTATATATTCAGTAATGGGGAAGAGATAAAGGGAGAGAGGGGTAGTGGAGAAAGTCAGGAGAGATATCACGATCACAATGTAAACTGTTGTTATTATAGAGTGATACACCCACTGACTCTAAGAAGTTAAACAAGAAAGAAGCTCAAGTGAGGCTGCGTCAATCACACATAGAAGAAGGAACAAAATAATCACGTGAGGCACAGGAGGAAGGGACCTGGGTGGGAGAGGGGAGGAGGAAGGGGCAAAGGGACACATAATCAGTTTGTGAGAGATACAGAGGAGAAGCCCAGAAGGAGAGGTCTAGGAGAATGATTGGAAGGAAAGACAGCTGCAAGTGGTGGGAGGATCCTCTAGAAAATTTCAGAGACCTAGGATGAGGGAGGCTCCAGACTCAATGTGGGTTAATTACCTTAGCCAAAATCTTAACAGTGATGGAACCTGAAAAGACAACCTCCAGTAGTTTGGCAGTAGAAGGATGGAGACACCAATCCACCTTCAAATATTTCGACCCAAAATTGTTCTTGTCCAAAAGAAATGCAGGAACAAAAAAGGAGCATAGACTCAACGAGTGACAAATCAGTGGCTGGTACACCCTGGGATCCATCCCAGAGGTGACACCAAACTATGATACTATTACTGATGTTATGTTGTGTTTGTAGACAGCCTAGCATGGTTGTCCCCTGAGAGGTCCAACAAGCAGCTGAAGGAGTCAGATGCAGATGCACACAGCCAAACATTTGACTGAGGTCCTAGACTCCTATGGAAGAGTCGGGGGGCAGGGGGAAGGGCTGAAGGATTTGAAGAGGATGACAACCCCATAGGAAGACCAACAATGTCAAGTAACCAGGAGCCTGGGTAGCTTCCAAAGACTAAGCCACTTATGAGTTTACAAGGCTAGGCTGGTCTGAGGCTCAAGGCACATACATAGCAGATGACTGTCTTGTCTAGCCTCTGTGGGAGAGGATGCTCCTAATCCTGTAAAAGACTTGATACTCCAAGGAGGGGCTATGCTGGGGGGGGCACCCTCTAAAAGGCAAAGGGGAGGAGGGATGGGGAAAAGACTCTGAGATGGGGGCCGTGTGGGGCAACATTTGGAATATGAGGAAATTAGATAATTAATTAATAAAATAAATAAATAAAGGGCGATCCTGAAGCTATACCTTTGAGGAAGCTGGTTTGTTTCCTCTGCATTGACAGATGATAATTAATGGCTTTTAAGGAAATCAAAAGTGGTTTGTGTTATCAATTGACTGTAGTAATTAAACCCTGATTTGGTCTTTCTTGTCACTTCATAGTTTCTTTAATTGAATTCCTTTTGAAAATATTCTGACTATTCAAGTCGTATATGATAGGAATGCTTTACAAAAGAGAATGACATATTGCCTTTATATATAAAGATTTCACATGTAAACCGTCTAAAAGAAGAGAAGAGAATAAACTCTAGAAAACCTTTGAAGAAACAAAAATGTTTTAGTATGTTGGATCCTAAAATAATGCTTAAAGAGACAAAGTCAATAAGAGCACATACAATGTTCATGTGTAAATAAATATATTTATAGTTTTATTTAACACCATAGTTTGCACCCAGCATTTGGTCATTCATACATATGTAACATAAAGACCCAAATAATTTAATGGCATATTTCTATACATTACTGTTGATAATTAGAATTATTTTATTGTGTCTTTACAAAGGGTAGTGGCTCATTAAGACCTCCTTTTCTCTCCTTAGCCCTGTGGTCCTTCTACTGAACAACATCCTGCCCGTAACACTGAACAATCCTTGCAATAAAGTGTGCCTCTCATGAGTAACTTCTGGACACTCAGCAGTTTGATAAGGTGGAGATATTATAGGAAGGCAAGAGAAAGGGACCCACAGAGGTTTAATTCAGAGTAAGGCCTCTTCTTATACCACATACATTCAACAAACTTCATTCACTGAGAGATCAATAGCTAAGTTTGTTTATCTGCTTTTTAAGAACATAATTTGCTTCTGTTTCTGTATTACATTCTGTGGTTAGATACTTGTTCCATTTGCAGATACTCAGTGTCACCTCCTGGTGTTAATGTGATGGAAAGAGGTTACAAATAATCCAATTCATTCTTGGGAACTACCTCACTAAGATGAGGTAACAAAAGCTTCATTTCCAATCTGTCTGATGCATATAGAATGTAACATAAGTACAACAAAGTTTATCAACAAAAAAGAAGCCCGGTTGATATAGATAAGGAGGATGATCAAATAATGTTACTGCCAAGTGGAATATTACATCTTAGGAATTTGTATGTGGAGATTATCTTTAAATAAAAAGATACATTTTTATAAAAAAATACAATAAGTAAAAGCAAACATAAGTTCATTGAATCTTAATATTCTGTGGCAATTGTTTAGAAACGCAAAAGTATACAGTGCTTAGGATGAAACAATTTCTGTCTTACACATTCTGCAAAATAGTTAACAGAAGGATTCATAGGAAAAATGATTTCACTCAATATTTAACATGTCAAAGATCAGTGATGAATTATTCGTGGTCAAATGATTATTAAATCTAGCTTGAAATATATACTGGTTTAAATAAGCTTCCAGTGCATGTGGGATTCCACAGGGCCTTGAAAAGAAGAAAACAAAAAGAAATGAATGGCAAATAACAAAACGAAATGAAATTTTAAATGAAGATTTTATATGTATAAATACTTAAATAAAAAATACAGATTGACATGAAACTCTTCTATTGGTAATTTTATGTCAAAATTTGTTATTAGCATTAACAAAGAATATTTATTTTAGTGAGGTAAATGGAAAGAATGAAACATTGTCATAAAAATGCATTTTTCCTTCTTTCAAATAAGTACAAAATAGTTTTTTTCAATGCTTTATGCATTCCTCAAGTGAAAAACAATCTGATAAACAGCCTAATAATTGACAAGTTGTACAAAGTTCTCTTGAAGATTTTGTGTACCACAGTTACTATCCAAGCCCTACACACAAAGATCCAAGATGATTTCCTTAGTCTATCATGATTATTACTCCAATCTTTTAGTCTGTGATTAATGCTGAAACTCCATATGATCTAGAAATTAAAACATTTCAAATATTTCACCCATTTTAAAACAAGAAAATAAGCCCTTAGAAATAGTGATTATGGGAGTGACCACAGGACTCTGTCCTGTTTGTTCGCTGACTATCTGGGTTTATTGTCTTGTTTGTTCCTTAACTATTTGCATCTATTGTATTGCTTGTTCCTCAACCTAGAACTGACCTTAATACTTACATGTAATTTAAATGGCATAAGAGCAAATAAGGAAGAGGAAGGATGGGATAGGGGCTTAATGGGGGAGGAATAGGGAAAGGGGATAACATCTGAAATATAAATAAATAAAATATCAAATAAAGAAAAGAAAATACTCACAAAAGAAAGTGTAATGTCTAAGAAGTGTAGAATAGTTCACTGTTTTCTAAGGACAGTAAAATTGTTGAAGAGATATACATGACACAGAATTAACACAATAATATTGTGTTATGTACCAATGATATCCTGTATGTACATAAGTGCCATGTGTCAGTATATAAGGTATAATGACATATAAGATCTGTAGCAAATGTAGCACTGGCAGATTCTGAAGGAATTACACACAAAAAGAAGAAATCTTCACCCCATAGGAAAACCTACATTTCTACTAACCCGGACACCTGGGAGCTCCTAGAGACTACGCCACCAACCAAAGAACTTACATGAGCTTTTTCATGTCTCCTGGCACATATGTAGAAGAGGACTACCTTGTCTGGCCTCAGTGGGACAAAATGTGCCTGTAGAGACTTGATGCCCCAGGCAGTAAGGATGTTGGCGGGTGGTGGTGGTGTAAAGTGGGGAGAGGGTACATGGGTAGGCAATAGGTGGGGGCAGTACCCTCTCAGAGGCAAAGGGGATGGGGAGATGGGCAAAGATCTCTGGGAGTGGAAACCAGGAAGGGGGGCAACATTTGGAATGTAAACAATTAAAACAATTAAAAAAGAAAGAAATCCTCTTATATGAGTCCACATCAAAAAGCTGTATTAAAAAAATGTGCAGTGACCTAGCAGTGTCTTCAGAGCAGTTCTGTATGAGAACAGTGTGTGACATTACAAATTCACACAATTAGGAAATGGATAATATGAACAGTCATGAGGTTTAAGGAATTCAAATTTTACACTCCAAAATGTACTGAGACATGCAGTGTGAATGCATGTGTGTGTTTCTGTGTGTGACTGTGTGTATAATGTAGTGTGTATAGTGTTAAATTTTAATTGCATGCAAGGGAATTTTGTGTGTTGTCTCAGAATAGTGCTCATTACTTGGACATGCAGGTTCTTCAGTGCATTCTGAAAATGAGGCTGAAAGGCTTGAATGCTTTCAAATTATCACTCTGAGGCCATTGCTGCAGTGGACAGAGCTATACTGCTGAGTGAAGTGGAGAATAGTTCCCTTTGCCCTGAAACGAAAGCTCACTGAAGATCTCTAACTAGAGAAATGGGCAAAACACCATATTTAGAAACTCGCATCTACAGTTTCAGTTTTCATACTTTGGCTGCCAATATGTCGTTGTTGTTAAAGACAAGCTTTAACATGATGGGCAGGAATAAAAGCATTCCCAGGACTAAAAGGGCTAGCATGATCAAGCTATATATACCATTTTTGAAGCTTGACCAAAATAGAAATACTGACCTCAGGTCATTGGTGATTTCATTCGTGGAAGAGTACATGAAGTGGTTAGCCAACACAAAATGGCCAGCCATGAAAACATACATATAAGTAATAATATGCAGATTGAGCACCTTGAATTCATGAATATATGTATATATATTTATATGTAAATATAGGTATATATGTGTATATATATATATATATGTGTGTGTGTATATTACATGCATATATATGCATGTAATAACAATTAATGTAAAATAATGTCCTAATTTTGAAGAACAAAAGTGATATATAGGAGCTTTTGAATGCATTAGTACAGTAATTATATTATAATCCCAAAATAAAAAAAAATAATAATGAAGTCATTTCAGATGTGTATTCTAGATTAGAATTCAATGGGAGATTATCTGGTAAGTATTTCTCAAACAGTAATATATAAAAAGATTTTGAAAATATATGCTTGTAAATTAAAAATAATATATAAGTTTAAAGTTAGGACAAAATTTTAAAGGAATACATTAATCTACTAACAATCAAACACTATACCCAAAAGAAATAGCTGTGCCGAATGGAATACTTATTTAGAATTTCATTCTGCATGTATGTCTACCAAGATAAGCTGAAGTACCATAGTTTACTGCTTTAGAGTTTTTACTAGGTCTTGTAAATACTGTGAGGCATGTGGTATCACAGTACTAACAGCAATTTTCACTCCATGACATTCCATGACACAGGGTTTTAGGGCATACCTAGGTTTTAATCTCATCTGGCTTATTTGTAGAAAGAATCTCATCTCTAATATATTAATTGTTTTTCTTTTTCTTCTACTCATTCACGTACTTGGAGAATAAATGAAGATTGTAGAGCTTAGCCGCACACAGGGCATCAATTGAGTTTTACACACATACTACTGGTTGGTTTGAAGCTGCCAAACAGAGGCAGTGCATAAATGGATAAGTTTGTTTAAGTGTTTCCAAACTCAAGTTCTTTTGTCTATACAACTTCTACTTTTTATACAGGGAAATATTTGTTCTCATTGGTCTATTCATTTTTGTGTCATTCTTGCTTTCTAATTCTGGTGGATGGTGCAGAGTATAGTAATATATTAGGATTTATTTTAAAATAAATTATAAATCATGATGTATAAAAAAAGAAACTCACTTCTAAGGTGTATGTTACTATTTGATGTCCAATTAAGTTCAGGTATGTCACGTGCCTTTTACCTCTTTTCTTTTCCATGCAAACCGTATTCACAGGCACATTCAAAGGAAGTTTCCTTCATCTCATCTCTCCTATTCAGGAGCACTAGCTAGCTTTTCTTCTCACGTAAGTGTTCTCTTATCTCCTTGTAGAGTTGTCTATGAATTAGACAAATAAAAGGAGGTACTACATAATAGATTTATAAATTGCATCAACTTATTAATGTCTAAGACATCTCTATAAGGGAATATTGAGCTTTCCTCTTCTTTTTGCTTGGATAGCCATCTATTTGATAACAGACCAATGTTTTATCAAATAAAATCTACTAATGAATATTTGTGTTATTTTCCATCATTGTCTGTGACAAAAAATGGAAACATATCTGCTGGAAGATTTTTATAGGTACCTTTGAGGAGTTTTGGATCATTCTACTTTATTATATTCTCAATAATCTCTTAACCAGACAGTGTGCATGTGACAAGGCTGTTCATTAACAGGATATGTTTTAAAGATACATGAAAAGGACTAAGTGTTCATACAGTTAAATGACATTCAGTTATATCATTAAGAAAATCATACAGTAAAACTGTAATTATTACATTTAACATGGCAAAATTTAAGTTTATCTGGGCTATGTCTGTGATATGGAGCTGTGACTCTGTTTATGTGACAAGGTGACAGAAAAGGCTTTCATAGATGAAAAATGCACACTCACATTAACTAATATTTGCTTATGTTATTTTACATAAATATGTTTTAATTTCATATTTTATAACTCACAATTGTGAGTAATATTATTAATATTGTCATGAAAAAATAATTCTATTTTTTCAGAGTCAATGAATATTTGTAAAACCTCTATTAAATAAAAATTATTCCTTTAGCCCTGGTGTAGTACCTCACGCCTGTTACTGATGCAGAAGTGCTTACATGAGTTCTTGGCCATCTTACACTAACTACATAGTAAGTTCCAGCTGAGCCTAGGCTAATAAGACCCTGTCTCAAAACAGCCAGAAAAAAAAAAATTTAGTTGCAGTTTTGCAGCCTACTTCACAGAAGCAGAGAGTTATAAAACGTATTTTCAGCTTTACATCAGTCTCAGCTTCAGCCTAGAGAATAAACAACTCATCCAGTTCCAGGTTTTCCTTAAAATTGAAGAAAATTATAAACATTTTATACTGTTTCTCTTCCAGAAAAATAACTGCATTGGAATATAACATCAATGTGATGGATTAAGTCCAAATCTGTAAATCCATTTATAAACATAAAATTCATAAAATAAATGATAAATCTGAAATAATTCTGATATTTATAGAATTGACTCTTTAAGTATTCTGAACTACAAATTACACTCTTTGGTATGAATTTTCTATATACTAATTCAGCTTCATAAATTTACAATTGTAATTACCATCTTAACATGGCATCACTAAAGAGTATAATTTCCCTGCATTCTTACTTTACAGTGCATAAGGTTAATGATATATGTGGCATGCTTTTAAGAAACTTTCTAATGGAATATTCTAAAATTTCCTGCTCCTGTGCCAGTTCTGTATAAATACATTTATGAAACTTTTTCTCTTCATTCTCTATGACTACATTATAAAATTGCTTTACATCTTTATTTTTAAGCACCTTCAATCTATCAATTTCATAGTCTTTTGTCCCCTAAAAAAATCCATTTCAATTTTCTCACTGACAAAAGTTATCTTAGCTTGAAGACCCTC